GAGAGAAGCTCCCCACAAGGATGATTAAAACATCAGAAAACATCCAGGCATTCCCTGGGCAACATCCTTGCAGACGGCCAATTCTCTCACACCAGAAGCAACTTGCAGTTTCTCAAGTTGCTCCCGAAATGGAAAAAAACCCTCTGAAATTAACACAGTAGTTAACACAAATCAAAAGTTCTTGCAATTAAATCAATTTATTCCTACCCAATACATTACAACAAAAATATGATTAAAATCTAAAAAGCACTGCTTAAGAATTACTGTAACTAGATAGTGAACGGATGTTGAAATAAACCATTGGCAAATATTCAGCAATGGTTTGTTTACTAAGAGCAAACATGAAAGGAAGGTATTTTTTAATGGACACACTAGCAAAACTATTCAGATGTAACACTGCACACTTCCAAAATTAAATCACAAAGTTGTGAAGTCTTTCTCAAAGAAGCACTGGAAATCTCAGTATCGTTTTACAGTAAATATTGTTTTATAACAAAACAGCACTATTAGAGGGAATTGGAAAAATTAGAGAAACATCTTTCTGGCTCATTTAAATAAGAACTATGTGTTACACTAAAATCTTCCTATGCTCCTGCCAACCAACATTGATGCCAATCAATATTGACACCAAAAAATATCGAAGATACTACCAGTAGTTGATTCACATTCAGTTACAAAACTGATGTCAAGATCTGTTATCACAAAAGCATGAATACACAACTGCACTTCAGGCAGTGGTGTTAGCTATAGCAAAATGAAGGTGCACTGGTGCAATGGTTTAAACCAGGGGTCCTCAAACTAAGGCCCGGGGGCCGGATACGGCCCTCCAAGGTCATTTACCCGGCCCTCACAACAACAACAATCCTATCTCATCAGTCAAAAGCAGGCATTAGTATTTCACATTGAAATACTAATAAGTTTATATTTGTTAAAATTGTTCTTCATTTTAATTATTGTATTTTACACTCCAAATAAGATATCCGCAGTGTGCATAGGAATTCATTCATGTTTTGTTCAAATTATAATCCAGCCCTCCAACAGTTTGAGGGACTGTGACCTGGCCCTCTGTTTAAAAAGTTTTGAGGACCCCTGGTTTAAACCCTTGTGCCGGCAGGACTGCTGACCAAACGGCTGGCAGTTCGAATCCAAGGAGCAGGGTGAGCTCCCGTCTGCCAGCTCCAGCTTCTTCACTTCACTTCATTTCTTAGTCGCTCTCCACCAAGGTGCTCCGAGCGACTTACAATCTAAAATAGCATTTACACAATATAAAAACATTCAACATAAAAACATTCAACAGTAACTATTTGGCAAATTAGATCTGATTACTTAAATGCACAACCAAACAGCCAAGTCTTGAGACATGAGAGAAGCCTCCCATAGGATGGGAAAACATCCAGGCATCCCCTGGGCAACGTCCTTACAGATGACCAATTCTCTCACACCAGAAGCAACTTGCAGTTTCTCAAGTTGCTCTTGGCATGAGAATTTTTTTTAATGAAATTCTGTCCCCCAAATTCAATTTTCCTTCAGTCTTCAATTTTTTTGCATTACAGCAAGTGAGAAATTTTACTTTGGATACCTAAACTGGCGTTTTAAGTTGCTGCAATGCTATAAATCTGGATTTTTTCCCCTTTTCTTTTTTTTTTTTTTTACTATGGATGCAGGATTCTTATTTCGTTTTGCTGCATTCACTGCAAAGAGACAACCCTGGATCAGTTTTCCCTGAAGGCAGAGGGGAGGTCTGCTATAGTTCTGTGATCAAATGCATTCAGTAATTTGTTTTGGGAGTTGTACTCCAAATTTAAAATCTGAAAGACCTATTTGGTGTTCAACAGCTTCCTTGCGAGGAGGAGCAGTTAAAATTACTGCAGCAGCAACTTGTGATATTTGACAGCCCTATCCCAATCCCATCTGATCTTGGAAGCTAAGCAGGGTTAGCACTGGTTACTACTTGGATGGGAGACTGAATTATTACATTCCGGACAAGAAACAATCAGGGCCAGCTAATCACCTCCCAACAAAGGATTCCCCCAGGCAGGAAGCAGCCAAGCTTTGACACTGCAAAGCTATTCAATGATAATCAAGGTGATCAATTGCAACATTCACACTTGCCTCAAACAGACAAGAATTATTTTTCCCACCCTGGACATTATTCCACAGATATATAAACCCCACTTGCCTAGTTTCTAAGAGATCTCACAACCTCTGAGGATGCTTGCCATAGATGTGGGCGAAAAGTCAGGAGAGAATGCTTCTGGCACATGGCTATACAGCCTGGAAAACTCACAGCAACCCTAATGTTTTATCTACAGCAATTGCTATAATTCATTGTTTTTTTTAACCAGGGTTGTATTGTGAATTTATGATGTTGTGTTGACTGTTTATTGTTTAAGTTTTGTTTCGCACTTGTTGTATTTTGATTGTCACACCTTGAGTGTTCTGTGAGCTGCCCCGAGTCCCTTTGGGAGATGGTGGTGGGATATACATAAAAGACTATTATTATTATTATTATTACTATTTAATAATAATAATAATAATAATAATAATAATAATAATAATAATATCTGAAACACAACAAGACGAGTCCACAGCTTAAGCGGCTGTGGGAGGAAAGGAAGGGGCCTGAGGCTGTTAGGAATTGTGGGAATTGAAGTCTAAAACACCTGGAGGGCCCAAGTTTACTCATACCTGGTGTAGATACACCTCAAGTTGTTTGTTGACTTGAATTTTTTCATGGTTTTTCTTAGGCCAGGAATACTTTTCTGTTTTGTTTATTTATTTGTGTATGTGTATATGTTTATGTGAGTGTTTGGGTGTATATATATATATATGCCTTCAAGGCCTATGTGGACTTCGTTGTGAGCCGCTTTGAGTCTCCGTATGGAGAAAAAAAGCGGGATATGAATAAATAAACAAAATAAATAATTCTGTCAATCCCATGAATCTCATTGGGTTTTCTTAGGCTCAGAGGTAGCTTTCGCCAGTTCTTTCCTCTGAAATATAGTCTAAAGCATTTGGTATTCGTTGGCAGTCTCTCATCCAAGTACTATCCCTTCAAGGTGTTTATTTAGGCATTGGTATATTAGCCTTCAGCATCTAGTATTCGTTGTCAGTCTTTCATCAAAGTACTAACCAAAGCGACTAAAATGATAAAAGGTCTGGAGAACAAGCCCTATGAGGAGCGGCTTAAGGAGCTGGGCATGTTTAGCCTGAAGAAGAGAAGGCTGAGAGGGGATATGATAGCCATGTATAAATATGTGAGAGGAAGCCACAGGGAGGAGGGAGCAAGCTTGTTTTCTGCTTCCCTGGAGACTAGGACGCAGAACAATGGCTTCAAACTACAAGAGAGGAGATTCCATCTGAACATGAGGAAGAACTTCCTGACTGTGAGAGCCGTTCAGCAGTGGAACTCTCTGCCCCGAGTGTGGTGGAGGCTCCTTCTTTGGAAGCTTTTAAACAGGGGCTGGATGGCCATCTGTCAGGGGTGATTTGAATGCAATATTCCTGCTTCTTGGCAGGGGGTTGGACTGGATGGCCCATGAGGTCTCTTCCAACTCTTCGATGCTATGATTCTATGAAAGCTGGCCCTGCTTAGATGATATTGGGATCTGTTGCCTTTAGGGTATTTAGGGACATTGTATATAATAATAATAATAATAATAATAATAATAATAATAATGTAATAACAATAATTTACTATTTATTTATTGTGGGCTTTTATATACCATCCTATCTCAACCTCTGCAGAGGGACTCAGGACGGCTAATAACAATAATAATAATAATAATAATAATAATAATAATAATAATAGTGTAATGGTTAGCACTCTGGACTGAGAGGTAATAACGTTTTATAACGTTGCCTGTCTGCACTGTCAACTTAATGTAATTCTGCGTTCACTTTCACTTCCTTAGCTCAATGTATAGGATATAGAATAATGGGGTTTGTAGTTTGGTGAGGCGCCATCACTCTTTGGGAGAGAAGGCCAAAGACCTTGCAAGACTACAACTCTCCCATCAAACCATAGCATTGAGTTGTGGCAGCTAAAGTGGAGTCAAACTGCATTAATTCTATAGCATAGATCGGGTATGAGCAAACTCGGGCCCTCCAGGTGTTTTGGAATCCAACTCCCACAATTCCTAACAGCCTCAGGCCCTGAGTATGAATTCACTTTGGCACCACTTTCACTGCCCTGGCTCCCTGCTTTGGACTCATGGGATTTGTAGTATTACAAGGGCTGCATCTACAGCAGCATGAATTCACTTTGGCACCACTTTCACTGCCTTGGCTTCATGGTATGGAATCATGGGATTTGTAGTTTTACAAGGGCTGCATCTACACCAGTGTGAATTCACTTGGGCACCACTTTCACTGCCTTGGCTTCATGGCATGGTATGGAATCATGGGATTTGTAGTGTTACAAGGGCTGCATCTACACCAGTAGGAATTCACTTTGGCACCACTTCCACCTCCCTGGCTCCCTGCTATGGACTCCTGGGATTTGTAGTTTTACAAGGGCTGCATCTACAGCAGTAGGAATTCCCTTTAGCACCACTTTCACTGCCTTGGCTTCATCGTATGGACTCCTGGGATTTGTAGTTTTACAAGGGCTGCATCTACAGCAGTAGGAATTCACTTTGGCACCACTTTCACTGCCTTGGCTTAATGGTATGGGATCATGGGATTTGTAGTATTACAAGGGCTGCATCTACAGCAGTATGAATTCACTATGGCACCACTTTCACTGCCCTGGCTTACAAAACTCACCAAAACGGTGCTAGACTGCATTCATTCATTCTACAAGGTAGGAGATGCAGCCCTTTGCAAAACTACAACTCCCATGATTCCATAGCAGCGGGAAGGGGTGTCAAAACTGCAAAAAGGGGTGTCAAAACTGCATCTTTCAGAGATGCATACAAAACGCACAGATCCAAAGCCGAAAGGGTTTTTCCCCCTCCTCCCCACGACACAGTCCATCATCCCCCCCCAACCCTCCTCACCTTGACGAAGGCGATGGGAGTTGTAGTGCCTTCGATGTCGAGCAGGAAGACCCTGACTTCCGCGGGCACCGTGAAGCCCACCATCTCCGAAAGGAAAAGAGGGAGAGGAAAGAGGAAAAGGGGGAGCCAATCAATGGGTCTCAGCCGATGCAGCAGAAGGAAGCGCCGCTCGGGCTGAAGCTCACGCCCAAAAGGGAAGAGCAGCCTCCTCTACCCACGTGGCTGGAAGCAGGGCAGCCGCATCCGGATTTGGTCCCCTCCCATTGGCAGCCAAGGAAAAGGAGGGAGAGAGAGAGAGCAGAAGGGGCGCCATGGAGGTGCCTGGCGGGGAGACTCTCTCCAGCACTCTCACTGACCTGGCTCCCTGCTATGGACTCCTGGGAGTTGTAGTTTTCTAAGGGTTGCAGCTACACCCTTGGCACCATTTTCACAGACAGGGCAACACGCGTCGAATCCTGGGAGTTGTAGTTTGGCCTCGCTTTCACTGCCCTGGCTCCATGCTATGAAATCCTGGGAGTTGTAGTTTTCCCAAGGGCTGCGTCGCTAATTGGGATATGCAGTTTTGCAAGGGCTGCATCTACACTAGAATGAATGCAGTCTAACCCTTACTTTCCCTGCCCTGGCTCCATTCAATGGACTCCTGGGATTTGCAATATTTCCCTGGGAGTTGTAGTATTCTAAGGGCAGCATCCACACCAGCATGAATGCCCTTTGGCGCCATTTTCACAGCCAGGGCTCCATGCGTTGAATCCTGGGAGTTGTATGTAGTTTTCCCAAGGGCTGCATCCACACTAGTATGAATGAATGCCATTCGGCTTCACTTTCACTGCCCCGGTTCCATTCTATGGACTCCTGGGAGTTGTAGTTTTCTAAGGGCTGCATCTACACCCTTGGCACCATTTTCACAGACAGGGCAACGTGCGTCGAATCCTGGGAGTTGTAGTTTGGCCTCGCTTTCACTGCCCTGGCTCCATGCTATGAAATCTTGGGAGTTGTAGTTTTCCCAAGGGCTGCGTTGCTCATTGGGGTATGCAGTTTTGTTAGTGCTGCATCTGCACTACAATGAATGCCGTGTAACCCCCTCTTTCACCGCCCTGGCTCCATGCTATGGACTCCTGGGATTTGTAATATTTCCCTGGGAGTTGTAGTTTTCCCAAGGGCTGCGTCGCTCATTGGGTATGCAGTTTTGCAAGGGCTGCATCTACACTAGAATGAATGCAGTCAAACCCCTACTTTCCCTGCCCTGGTTCCATTCAATGGACTCCTGGGATTTGCAATATTTCCCTGGGAGTTGTAGTATTCTAAGGGCTGCATCTATGCCAGCATGAATGCCCTTTGGCACCATTTTCACGGCCAGGGCTCCATGCATCGAATCCTGGGAGTTGTAGTTTTTCTAAGGGCTGCATCGCTCATGGGTTATGTAGTTTTGCAAGTGTTGTTTATCGAACTGGAATGGATGCAGTTTGGTCCCATTCAATTGACTCCTGGGAATTGCAGTTTTCTATAGGATGCATCTACATTAGTATAAAGGCACTTTGGCATGATTTTCTCTGCCCTGGCTCCCTGCTATGGACTCCTGGGAGTTGTAGTCTTCTAAGGGATGCATCTACACTAGTATGAAGGCAGTTTGGCACAATTTTCTCTGCCCTGGCTCCCTGCTATGGACTCCTGGGAGTTGTAGTTTTCTAAGGGCTATATCTAGGGCTTGTAGGTCTTCTTCTGAATGCGCACAGACAACGTCATCAGTATATTGGTGTTCTATAACAGATGTTGTTATAACCTTTTGGCTTTCAGTCTGCTGAGGTTAAATGGGTTGCCATCTGTCCGATAGATTATTTCTACTCAGGTGGGATCAGCAAGATGAAGTATCATAGCGATGAAGATGGAGAATAAAGTTGGGGCAATAACACATCACTGTTTAACACCTAATTCCACCTTAAATGGGTCACTTTGGGAGCCACTGCTGTCCAAGACTGTTGCCATCATGTCATCATGGCTTTATGAACAAGCACCTTGGTATCCCTACGGATGTCCCGATCCTCAAACACTCTCTGCTTCATTCGGAAGAAGGCTGCACTCGCAGAGCTCAGGCGGAGTTGGATTTCAGTGTCAATGTTGACTTTTGTGGAGAGTTGGCTGCCAAGGAAGCAGAAATGGTCAACATTTTCTAATATTGTTCCATTAAACTGTATTTCTGATATTTATTTATTTATTTTATTTAGTACATTTCTATACTGCCCCTCTCAGCCTTCTGGCGACTCGAGGCGGTTTACAAGGCAAGAATTCAATGCCGCCAAGGACACAGTTACAATATACAATATAAAAAACATCAGCAACAATCAAATCAAACATTGTAATGAAACATACTTCAATCAATAATCATTAAAACAATGTCCACTTCCGCCATATAATTATTTCATTATTATATACGTTACTCCGTATTTTCAAATGCTCGCTCAAATAGCCATGTCTTAAGATTCTTCTGGAATGACAGGAGCGAGGAAGGCAATCTAATCTCTCTAGGAACGGCGTTCCATAGCCGAGGGGCCACCACTGAGAAGGCCCTGTCTCTTCTTCCCACCAACTGTACTTGTGATGATGGCGGGACCAAGAGCAGGGCCTCTCCAGATGATCTTGAAGTCCTTGCAGGTTCATAAGGGGAGATTCGTTCGGACAGGTAAGTTGGGCCAGAACCGTTTAGAGGATTGCTGGAAGAGCACTTTGGGGAGTTGCAGTGACCTGTGGTAGTGAGTCCGTATTTTCAAATGCTCGCTCATATAGCCATGTCTTAAGATTCTTCCAGAATGACAGGAGCGAGGAAGTTGATCTAATCTCCCTAGGAAGGGTGTTCCATAGCCGAGGGGCCACCACTGAGAAGGCCCTGTCTCTCATTCCTGCCAACCGTACTTGTGAAGATGGCGGGACCGAGAGCAGGTTCATAAGGGGAGATTCATTCGTACAGGTAAGTTGGGCCAGAACCATTTAGAGAAGGATTGCTGAAAGAGCACTTTGGGGAGTTGCAGTGATCTGTGGTAGTGAGTGAAGGTACTGCAAAGCCCATCACCCGTGGCAACTACTCCTCTGTTGCACCAGTTCCACTGGCTGCCAATTAGCTTCCGAGCACAATTCAAAGTGCTGGTGTTAACCTATAAAGCCCTAAACGACTCCGGCCCAACTTACCTGTCTGAATGTATTCTCCCCTATGAATAATCTAGATTGTTAAGATCGTCTGGAGGGGCCCTGCTCTCGGTCCCACCGGCCTCACAAGCGCGTCTCGTGGGGACGAGGGACAGGGCCTTCTCGGTGGTGGCCCCTCGGCTCTGGAACTCTCTCCCACTGGAGATCAGAACTGCCCCCTCTATCTTGACGTTCAGGAATCAGGTGAAAACTTGGCTGTGGAAATTGGCATTCGACGAGTGAGTCAATATTTGGTGATATGGATGGATGATGACGAATGACGAACAACTATTTTATTGTGACGACTGACCATTGTAATTATTTGACTGCATTGCTATTTTAATGTTTTAGCTTAATATGTAACATGATGTTTTTAATGACTGTTTGTGATATTACTGTTGGAAACCGGCCCGGGTCCGTTGACAGAGGTGAGAAGACCGGTATAAAAAAACTGCTAAATAATAAATAAATAAATGATTCCATAGCTGAGGGGCCACCACTGAGAAGGCCCTCTCTCTCGTTCCCACTAGCTGTACTTGTACTTGTGAAGATGGCGGGACTGAGAGCAGGTTCATAAGGGGAGATTCGTTCGGACAGGTAAGTTGGGCCAGAACCATTTAGAGAAGGATTGCTGGAAGAGCACTTTGGGGGGTTGCAGTGACCTGTGGTAGTGAGTGAAGGTACTGCAAAGCCCATCATCCGTAGCAAGTTTGGTCCAGATTCATTGATTGGTTTCACAGTGCTTGGAAAGAAGTGACGAGCGGAGTGCCGCAGGGTTCCGTCCTGGGCCCGGTCCTGTTCAACATCTTTATTAATGACTTAGATGAAGGGCTAGAAGGCATGATCATCAAGTTTGCAGACGACACCAAATTGGGAGGGATAGCCAATACTCCAGAGGACAGGAGCAGGATTCAAAACGATCTTGACAGAATAGAGAGATGGGCCAAAACTAACAAAATGAAGTTCAACAGTGACAAATGCAAGATACTCCACTTTGGCAGGAAAAACAGAAATGCAAAGATACAGAATGGGGGATGCCTGGCTCGAGAGCAGTACGTGTGAAAAAGATCTTGGAGTCCTCGTGGAAAACAAGTTAAACATGAGCCAACAATGTGATGTGGCGGCAAAAAAAGCCAATGGGATTTTGGCCTGCATCAATAGGAGCATAGTGTCTAGATCTAGGGAAGTCATGCTACCCCTCTATTCTGCTTTGGTTAGACCACATCTGGAATATTGTGTCCAGTTTCAAGAGAGATATTGACAAGCTGGAATGTGTCCAGAGGAGAGCGATTAAAATGATCAAGGGTCTGGAGAACAAGCCCTATGAGGAGCGGCTTGGGGGAGCTGGGCATGTTTAGCCTGAAGAAGAGAAGGCAGAGAAGAAATATAATAGCCATGTATAAATATGTGAGAGGAAGCCACAGGGAGGAGGGAGAAAGCTTGTTTTCTGCTTCCCTGGAGACTAGGATGCAAAACAATGGCTTCAAACTACAAGAGAGGAGATTCTATCTGAACATGAGGAAGAACTTCCTGACTGTGAGAGCCGTTCAGCAGTGGAACTCTCTGCCCCGGAGTGTGGTGGAGGCTCCTTCTTTGGAAGCTTTTAAACAGAGGCTGGATGGCCATCTGTCAGGGGTGATTTGAATGCAATATTCCTGCTTCTTGGCAGGGGGTTGGACTGGATGGCCCATGAGGTCTCTTCCAACTCTTTGATTCCATGATTCTATGCTCTCTGGATGTGAACTACAACTCCTATAAATCAAGATCAATTTCCCGCAAACCTGGTCATGAGGGTTCTGTGTACCTAATATAGACCATAGGAAAGGGTGAAAGGAGAGCCAGGGCCTGAGTAGTGAGTGACACTTTTGTTCAGTGCACACAAGCTTTGTCCTATCGTTATTCTGTGAAATATACACTGATATATATACTAATACAATATATTTTTGACTAAATAGGGTCGAGAAATGTTTCCCTCCAAACGCAGCAGGATTCATTTCCTAGTAAGCCTTTGAGAGGGTTAAAAAAAGGCGCCACTGAGCTTGCCCCC